GGTTCTAGTTTAGATTTTCCTTAGACCACTCCCCTTTTTTTTTTTTTTTTTTTTTTTTCTTTTCTGTTTAAGCTACAGATCTTGTCTCTGACCTAACCTCTTTGTGGGGCTGGGGAGGTTAAGAAGGATGATAGAAAGTCTTTAGAAGGTAAAATTACGGCGCAGGGTAGATCTGGTTTGCACATATACCAACATGGACATTAGCCCACTTCAGACATTAGCCCTACTGTTGTGTGGCCAGCACCCAGATACGTTGTGTTCTGTGGTGGACAGAGGGCCTGCTGGGTGCATGTCCCTCACAGTGTGTGGTTAGCACTTATCATTAGTGCCTGAGCTGGCTGAGTAGCAGTGTTCTCTCAGGGGCCATCTGCACTCTGCTCAGATTGTGTCCAACCAGCTGTGCCTCCTTGGGCAAGCCACGTCCCCCTTGAAGCCTTCTGCTCTGCATCTGTAAATCAGGGGGCTGGACTCGAATGGCCTTGACGGTCTGCCTTCCCGTGCCCTAATGTTCTGTGCTGCTAATGGAGATGAAGCCGGGCCTCTGTGGCTAAGCACGCTATGGTGAGCGCTTGAGTTGGATGTTTGGTGCTATTTCGATTGTTAAAATAGAACAGGCTTCTGAATTGTGGCCAGAACATAATGAATCCCATTTCTGTATAACAATGATGATGACGGGACCAGTCATGTAGCAGAGTTACTGACGTGGCGGGCCGGTTTGGCCCAGTATTCTCTGCAGCAAATATAAATGTGAAGCTCTGGCAAAGCAGTTGATGGCGTCCGAGGAGCTTCGGAGAAAAGCCAGTCATCCGGTTGGTTTTATTTCTCCCGGGCTGATGGGACTGAGGTTCAAGTTTGCATTTGCCTTCGTTCAGTGGGTGAGGCTTTCTTCTAGACACCTGTCCAGCTTCTTGACTCTCGGAGTTGGGAAGGGCATTTGGGACCACTTAGTCAGAGGCTGCCTTTGACAGTGGGGACCTCAGTGGCCGGAGGGACGGAGCCTGGTCAGGACTTGGAGCTGGTGAGCAGAGACGCACAGAGGCCTCTGGCTGCTTCTCTTCCCTGTGGCTGAGCCTGCACTCTCCTCAGGCAGCACTCTCCTTCTGGCAGTTTCTGTCTTCCCAACTTTCTCTCACCCAGTCATCAGCGACTCCGTTTCATGGACTCAGGTCTTGGCCTACTCCAAGGGGCAGGGGGAAGCTATCAAGGTGGCATTCTGAATATAAGGGGTTTCCTGAGTCCTGGCGGGCGGGGGCAACATGGGAGGACATGGGGCAAGAGGAGAGAGGACAAAGGGCCTGCTCTCAAGCAATATGCCATTTTCCAGGTGCCCCAGAAGGTTCTTAGCAGGGGAGTGGCCTGACAGGAGGGGCAGCAGGTGAACACAGAGAGGAAGTAGCTAGAAACCCCATGTGAAGCCCGGCCGGAGGAGGGGACCTGGCCCAGGGTGCACAGAGGGAACGGAGAGGCTTTTGTTCGTAGGCAAAATGGTAAGAGGTGGGTGACAGGGAGGAGAAGGGGAGCTGGTGATAGCGCTCTTTGCTTTGGCCAGGCTGTGACTGCGCAGTCGTCACAGAAGCAGGGTGGCTGCTGCCATCTGTCCTGGGGGTCCCACACAGCCTCACTGGGTGTGGATGCCTGTGGCCTGGGGTCCTGTCAGCCCCCTGTTCTGCCCTCCCTCTGTGCAGGCACCCTAGGAGCACCACAGTGAGCAGGAGCTGGCCCTGCGTTAGCGAAGGGCACGTGAGTGAGCACAGAAAGGTTCTCTGCTGTTTAATCTCAATCTCTGGCTTGGAAAATGCCTCAGAGATTGTCGTGTCTCTAGTGAGGAAAGTAGAGGCCAGACGGGAGGAGCTCGTCCGCGTTCCCACAGGGGGCTTGTAGTCATGGCCCGGACCTCTGCACTCTCTCGGCCCCTACCACTGCTCTTAGTAGGTCCTGTCTCAGGGCCAGCGAGTCTGGAGTTGCGAAAGGAAGGAAAGGCAGGGAGCTTTCTCTGAAGGAGTTTATCACTGAGCTGAAGGGAAAGAAGAAATGGAAGAGTTAGGATGGGTGATGTATATGTACCAACTCCCCACGGAGAATATGATCATATTTACCGTAAATGTGCACTAGTTAAAAAAATATTGAAAGGAAAAAGTAGGGGAAAAAAAAGAAGAAGAAATAGGAAGTAGCTGACTAGACAGCGCACAGGGAGGAAGTTTCAGAACTGAGAGTTCAGAGCCGGCCCTGGGTCCTGGGAAAGTTTCCCAGAAGGGCTGGGCCTTCCCGGAAGAGAGGAAGGCCTGGAAGGTGAGAGAACGGGGAGGAAAAATCAGGACAGTAGCACGTGCCAAAGCAAGGAGGCGGCGATCGGGGCCCCTCTTGGGTGTGTAATTGCTGTGTCTTCAGGGAACGGAGGTCCTTTGTGTGCTCCTGTGGCTCGGCGAACCCTACAGGGTGACAGAGGACGTACAGGGCTTAGGAGGTGCTGCCCAAGATGAGCTCCTGTCCCTGTGGGATGGTTCTCAGCTTCTGGATGTGTGCCTCCCAGAGAAGGACTCTGTCTCACTGCTGCTGCTCTGAGAGGCCCCAGCGTGGGCGGTGGCGCTCAGATCCAGGACCCGGTTTGGAGTTTAGGAAGCTCTTTACTTGCCCAGAGCTCATCTCTAAGGGGTGGTGGCCAGTGCAGAAGACAGAAGACAGAAAGCCGCCTGCTGCTGGCCGGAGTCACCCAGCCAACAGAGGAGCCCAGGGAAGGACAGACCCACAGCCAGCTCCCAGGGTGCGGGGAGACCAGCACCTTCCTCTTCAGCTGAGCCCACTCGCTGGGCCGTCCCTACCCATGGGCCACGATGAGAGCAGAGCCTTCCTGGACTCAGGCTTCAGCCAAGCCTGCCATGGAAGAGGCAGATTCTGTCTTCTTGCGCTCTGGTCACCAAAGGGTTAAATCTTCCGCTCAGCTGCAGCAGTGGGCCTGGCCCCTGGGAACCAGGAAGAGTGGGCGCCAGGAGGGGCAACCCCGGGAAGGGGCACCTCCAGGCAGGGAGGAAGGAACTCCAGGAACCCAAGGGCAAGGGCGGGCCTAGCCAGGACAGAAACCAAAGGGTTAACAGATGCAAAGGCGCTGATAAAATGCCCCACATTCCTGGTCCTGCCTCCAGTGGGGAGGGCATCTGGCAAATGTCAATGATAAAAAATACATTTTAATGGCACATGATGGAGCCGCTACCGTGGGGCAGGCGCACTGAAAGAAACCGAGCAGGTTTGAAGCAACAGCCCCCGTGTGTCACTCCCTGGGCTCCAGTGTGCCCGTGAGGCTTTGTTAAGCTTCATTCAGCTGGGGTTACTGCTTCCCCCACCTGTGGCCCTGGGATGCCCAGGGCTTCCTGCCTTCTCTAGCTTTATTTTCAGCACCTCACTCGTCTCCCACTTTGGGCTGTACCCCCGCCAACCCTCCCTGAGGGCTGGAGCTGCTTGGTTGGTCCTAGAGCAGCTGCAGCTGGCCTCCCTGCACCCAGTGCTGAGAAACGCTTTCCTACACGTGTGACACCCTGAAAATGGAGCTGGACCTTTCCCTCTGCTTGTCCCCTCCCCCTCCCGCAAAGCCCTGGGCTGTGAGGCGGCCTTTGTTGCTGACAGATGTGAGCGGAAGCAGCTCACAGTAGGCCTTTCCAGGAAAGGCGGGTCACACTGGAGGGGGGCACTTGAGGTGGTAAGTTGCGAAGTAGGACCCCATCTGAAATACTTGGAAGTGAGGCTCAAAGAAGGAGTGACTTGTCTGAGGGTCATACAGTGAGTCAGCAGCGTCCTGAACTTCTGCCTCCAACTCAAAAGTCCTGCTGCTATGAGACGCTGAGCTCACCGGGCTTTTCAGCTGTGAAGCTTTTTCCTAAGGGCCCCATGGCTACAGTGACTGTCTGTCACAGCAGGGAGGTCCTGGGCCAGGTGTTAGTGCTGGAGCATGGAGGCTTAGTGGCATTGTAGGGGCAGAGCTGGAGCCCAGGGGACTGGCTCACCACTTGGGAGCTTCCGGACCTTTCTGGGCTCCAGCCTGGTGGTTAGGCCTGAGCTGTAGGCTTTTAGGAGGAAACCAGCCGTGGGCCAGCTGCACTTGTCAAGGAGCAGAGGGTGGGGGTCTGGAGCTCAGAACGACACCCTTCTCTTCCAGATCATCCTCAACTCCATGCACAAGTACCAGCCACGGCTGCACATCGTTAAAGCCGATGAGAACAACGCCTTTGGCTCCAAAAACACAGCCTTCTGCACTCATGTGTTCCCAGAGACCTCCTTCATCTCTGTGACCTCCTACCAGAATCACAAGGTACCGCACAGGCCCAGCGTCCCCACCACCGAGGTGCCTGGCATGCCAGAGAGACGCAGCAGGGCTTGGAGACTCACTGTGCCCTCCCAGGGCAGGTAGCTGACTGAGTGATGAACAGGAGACAGACTCGGTCTTGTATTTAGGGGTGGGTAAGGGGCAGAAAGCAGGCAGGCTGGTTCTTGGTGCCCGGAGCCACCCAGCCAAAATGCAAGGCCCAGGGAAAGCCGAAGTCTATAGCCAGCAGCTATGAGCGTGAGCCCCGGGAGCGAGGAGCCTGCCGTATTGGAGTGTTTGGCCCCTTTCTTCTGCATGCTCCGCAGGGCTCTGGGTATGGAGAGGGCTGACAAGGGAGGAGGGGTGTCCCGGGTACACTCAGCTGGGTCGGGCCTGCGTGTCCACCCAGCCCTGTCCCACTGTTCACCACTTTGCAGCCCCAGCCGTCCCCTCAGGGTTCTGAGGGCCCTAATGCCTCTCCACCCTGCTTCTGCCCACTTTCTCAGGGCGTTTTCCACACATTATGCACCTTGGGATTGGCTAGGTGGCCAGGGTCTCAGCTACGGTGAATTTTAGGCAGAAGAGTGACAAAGTTAAATTTGCACTTAGAACAGTCCCCCGAACCTGATGGCAGTCATACGAGATGGGATGACATGGCAGGAAGCCTTTGCAGGCCTCGGGAGAGATGGACAGTGCAGGAGGAAGACTCAGAGGGACTGCAGCGAGCAGAATGGAGGGCACCCAGGGACAAGCCAGACATGGGGACAAGGCCAAGGAGGGCTGAGTGTGACTCCCAGCTGTCCTAGGGCTGCCGCTTCCCTAGACCTGCGCTGAGTCCCCAGTGTGCCTGGGCTGGGGGAGGAGGGCCACAGGCAGGCAGCCAGGTCCTCTCTCCTCCCAGCAACTCTCCCCTGTGTCCTCTCCTGACAGATCACACAGCTAAAAATCGAGAATAATCCTTTTGCCAAGGGATTCCGGGGCAGTGATGACAGTGACCTGCGTGTGGCCCGGCTGCAGAGGTGGGGCTGCCCCAGCCCGGGGGTAGGGTGGGCAGAGTGGGCAGCCCTCATGGCATCTTCACTCTCTTCCTGTCTCTGCACCTGTCCTTTCCACCCCTCCAGCAAAGAGTATCCGGTGATCTCCAAAAGCATCATGAGGCAGAGGCTCGTCTCCAGCCAGCTCTCGGCCAAGCCTGACGTCAGCCCCCTGCACGGCGCCCACCAGGCCCTGCAGCACTATCAGTATGAAAATGGGGCCCACATGCAGTTTGCCACGGCCGAGCCGCAGGAGCTGGGCCTCAACACCTTCCCGCCCCAGAGGGACTCCAGCCTCTTCTATCACTGCCTGAAGAGACGAGGTAGCGCGCTTGGTCCAGAAGCCCTCGAGGGCTGGGGGTGCCACAAGGGAGCCAGTCTTAGGGTTGGCAGCCACGGCCAGGCTCAGGACCACCTTTTCCCATGCAGGAATGCTGGTCTTTATGTGGCCTTGGGAATCTTCACAGACAGCTTGGCCCGTGCTGGCTCCCTGCTGGGTTCTGGGTGTTGTTTTGCAGGCACTGCTTTGGGAGCTGCCATAGGGTGGGAAGAAGACACAAAGCCAGCTGGGCTCTGCCTAGAAGCTCGGGAGGAACTGGGGCTTCCCGGGCCACAGGGTCTTGGACTGAGGCTTTATGTATCAAAGCATCCTCAATCACAGAGCTCAATCATGGAGATGACAGGCTCCACCTTTACCCGACTGCATGGGCTGTTTGGGAGCTGCAGTGAGCTACTGAAGAAGCAGACTGGGGGCCAGGGACATGGGAACAGCACTCTGCATGCTGGGCTGCTTTGTGAAGAGCCCTGGACCGGGAACCGTAACATCCGCGTTCTGCTGGGAGGCCTCAGTTTCTCCATGGGTAGAATGGGAACGATTAGCATTGCCCCACCAGAAGATCTCACTAGGCCACTGAAATTCTCTTGGGAAAAAGTCTGGAGACTTTTCCTTGCACTCCAGAATGTTCTTTGAGCCCTGTTCCTAGGAACTTCGTGGGCAGAGCTCCAAGTATCCTCCAAGGATCTTTCAAGCCCCATTAGAACTCAGTGACCTTGAGCAGGGAGCAGCACACTTTGGCCCTTGGACCAAAGCCAGCCTGCGGCTTGATCAAAATGGTTTTCACATTTTTACACAGTTGAAAAAAGCCCAGAGTAGTTCCTGATATGTGAACGCTATGTGAAATTGCAAATGTTAGCATCCATAAATAAGTTTCATTGGCACATAGCCACGGCATGTACTTACGTAGTGCTTTCCTGGGCCCACAGCGGAGCTGAGGACTTGTGACACAGACTGTGTGGCCCACAAAGCCTAAAATATTTACTCTCTGGCCCTTTGCTCATTCCTGATCTAGCGGGACTAGGCCACCTGCCAAGCGCAAGAGCTGAGTGCAGGAGAAGGGAGGACTGGAAGGGTGGGGACAGCGGGGCTGCGGGGGCAGGGGCGGCCGGGAGGGAGGGCGCAGTTCCCCCGGCAGGTGAGAGGCCCCCAGACCCGAAGGGCGTGTGGAGTACAAGCTCTGAGCTTGGCCCTTGTCTCCCACAGGCCATCCTGCCCTGTGTATACACGCAGCTCTCAGAATGAATCCCTGGGGAAAACAGAAGGCAGGGGGCCAAGATAAGCCATGGAGAAGTGTTCTTTAATTTGTTGAATGGGCCGCTACTCCAGTCCAAGGCCCGGGCTATCCCTGGATCCCAGGGGAGGGCGTGTCACCAGAATTCAGCCCTCATTATTGAGAATGCTGAAAAATGCAGACATGATTTGTGCCGTCCGATGTCATCTTTCCCCAGACTGTCAGCTTAGCCTAAATACTATGTCACCCCTTTTACCTATTTGTTCCGTTTCTTTTTTGTTGTTGTTTTTGCTATACTGGGGGAATTGAACCTAGAGTCTTCATATTGAACTACGTCCTTATCCTTCCCACAACCTTTTTTCTTTCTCTTTTTTAAACAGGGTCTCAGTAAATTGCCCAGGCTGGGCTCAAACTTGTAGTTGTCCTGCCTAAGCCTCCTGGGTGCTGAGATTACAGGCGTGTGCACCACACCCAACTCAACTCCTTTTCTTAATTATTGTAATGCAGTTGTGTTGGGGTCTGTGTAGTAACCATCTGGTGGGACTTCTTTGAACATGGTAGGGTTAATTTCTTCTTTCAAAAACAACAGAACCTTGCTGACAGCTGATCTCAGCGCTCCTCAGGAGCAAAGACTGAGACAAAGACATCAGGCTTTCGCTATCTGACTTCTTTAGACACTTGTGATCTCGCTGCCGGGTTGGGCCTGGCAGTTGCCGCCACTTTTCTTGGCCAGGGCCGGCGTGACCTGCGAGTCCAGTGTACGTGGGGCCTCTTACCGCCCCGAGTCAGGCTGACAAAGGATCAGAGCTGTGTGCAGCCCGGCTTGGCGCATCCCTCGGTGTCTGGTGGTGTGGCGTGCCTCCTGGCCTTAGAGTAGGGCACACAGTCGGACCACTTCTTCCCTGCTGCCACCCATAAAAGCTGTAGCTGAGTAAACTGGTTCTGGGAGCAACACGGCAACGCAGGGCACGGGTGGGCACTGAGTGACAAGGGCAGGCTGTCCTTTGGGATGCTCAGAAAACTACTCTTCTGACTATTTCCTGTCTTCCGGCAGACAGCGCCCGCCACCTGGAGTTACCCTGCAAGCGATCCTATCTGGAAGCTCCCTCTTCTGTGGCAGAGGATCACTACTTCCGTTCTCCCCCTCCCTACGACCAACAGATGCTGAGCCCCTCCTATTGCAGTGAGGTGACTCCCAGAGAAGCCTGTATGTACTCAGGTTCAGGCCCCGAGATTGCCGGGGTGTCTGGGGTGGACGACTTGCCCCCGCCCCCGCTGAGCTGTAACATGTGGACGTCGGTCTCACCGTACACCAGCTACAGCGTTCAGACCGTGGAGACTGTGCCTTACCAGCCCTTTCCCACGCACTTCACGGCCACCACTATGATGCCTCGGCTGCCTACCATCTCCGCTCAGAGCTCCCAGCCGCCAGGGAACGCCCACTTCAGTGTCTACAATCAGCTGTCGCAATCTCAGGTCCGAGAGCGGGGTCCCACGGCCTCCTTCCCGAGAGAGCGTGGCCTCCCCCCGGGCTGTGAGAGGAAGCCGCCCTCACCTCACCTGAACGCTGCCAATGAGTTTCTCTACTCTCAGAGCTTCTCCTTGACCCGAGAATCTTCCTTACAGTATCATTCAGGAATGGGGACTGTGGAGAACTGGACTGATGGATGATTGCCACGTCTCCTGGACAGCCCCAGGACCCTGTCAATGAGTGTTAACCTCTGTGGGTGGCCCGCACTCCCAAGAAACCCAGGAAGGTATTTCAAAGGGTGTACGTGTGCAAATGCTAGTGTGTGTGCATATGTGTGTGTGCATGTGTGTGTGTGTATGTGCTTGTTCATATATGTAGGGAGAGCTGACACATAGCTGAGACCAGCACAAGAGAAGAGAAACCCCAGTTATCTAAGAAGCGATTTTGGATGCAGGATCTGGGACTACTGTTACCTGACATCTCTTGACCCGCCCAGGTGAGGGATAGGCGTGGAGGATTCGTTTGAGTTCTTTAGAGGTTTTTATAATACAGTTGGATTCACCCGGGGGCCAGGAGTTGAGGTCTCTCTCTGCTGCAGAGAGAGCTTCTCTCTGCACACCTGGGGGTTCTGGCCTTCCACCCACAAGGGAGCGCAGGGCCCGTCCTTCGGCTTCTGGAGAGTCTGTGAGACTCCCTGAGCCTCCAAGTGCGCTTTCAGAGCAAAACTGTCAGCTCAGTTGATGGCCTGGAGCTTGATCCCTGGAGCTGTAAGGTCTGAGGGGTGACTTTCAGAGAGGGTCATGTGCTCAATGCCACCTCATGGGTATTTTAAAATATTTTCTTCCTTTTTTCCTTCAAGCGTAGGGAAAACCCAACCAGTAGCACCTCTGTCATTGTTCAGGGTTTGTGGTAAAGTGCAGAGCCCTTCCCTCTGGGTCCCCAACGTGCAGTGTCTCTCTGAGGTACACAATCGGCCTGCCTCGTACCCTCTGCATCCCATGGGCAGCAGTCGTGACACACGCTTCACCTGGCAGCGTCCCCAGAACCCTGTCAGAGCTGATGTGAGGCATCTCTGCTGGGCGTGTTCTGCTCCCTAAAAACCCATGCCCCTGGAGTGAGACATGCGAAAGAGAATTGAGAAAAATTAATTTCCTCCAGCAAATTCAGCCAGTGTGCTCAGAGGAGCAAAGCTAACTTTTCTCCAGGGGGTAACCTCGTAGTCCTCAGCCCCGTCCTCTGACGGTGGACATCACCAGACCGTCTGGGTCGGTGGTGTGAGCTCTAAATTAAATTTGGGAAATCACTAAACTCTTTGCATGCTGAATAGCTATTTATATATTATATAAATAAATAAATGAGTAAATATATATATCTCACAAATGCGGGCCACATGTCAAATTCAGCTTTGCTTTTTACAAATGAATAAACTTAATAAAAATGAATGCTGGTGGGGGTATTTGGAAAGACATCTATTTAAATTTTTATGACATGTTTGATATGAAAAACTAAGAATGGTTTAGATAAAGCATATATATATATTATATAAACACACGACAGATAAAGCTTTATTAGAAAACACATTAGCTGACAGGTGATATGGAACGTCAAGTGTTTTGTTATGTAGCATGGACATTTTATTTTACATATTGGAACATAAAGCCACCTTACAACTGTGAAGCGTGTGGATGCTTTTTATTACTGGCTTGTCATTTCTTGGCCCAGCGATGGTGTCTGTCCCCCAGTTTGGTTGTATTTTTTCCCAAGTGCTGGGGGGAGGGGGGACCCTCAGTGTCTCTGAACATTTGTGCCACGGAGCCTCTGCGTTCAGAATGAAGTAACTGAGGACCAGTGGACAGGGTACCTTTGATCTCATGCTGCTGGGTCCCCCCGCCCCCGCACCGAATGAGACCTAGCTGGGAAATAATCAGCCCTGACCACTAGAGATCACAAATGCCATCCTCGATCAGCCTGCCTTTGCCTTACCTGCTGCCACTGTTCACGCTCGGTGGCTACTCTGTAAGGCAGGTAAGGCAAGGACAGGCTGATTGGGGCTGGCATTTGTAATCTCTAGCTTTCAAGGCTGATTATTTCCCAGCTAGGTCTTATTTTGGGGGAAAGAGAGTACTCCCTAGGTGGCGAGGCTAGACTCCAAGCCCAAGAAAGGCAGAACTGGTGATAGGAATCTGTTACCTTTTAGTAGTCAACACACAACCTAGTGGGTTTGGGGAAGTGGTCTCTTCAGTAGAGGATTCTAGGGGCCGGGGATATAGCTCAGTGGCTTAAGTGCCTACCTGGCAAGCACAAGGTCCTGAGTTTGATCCCCAGTACTGCAAAAAAAGAAAGTAGAGGATTCTTGGTGGGATTTGTGCAGCTGCTTTGGAGAAGGAGCTTAAGAGCAGGTCACAACCAGAGCCAGAGCGTGGGGCTTCCTGGAGCAGCTGGATACGAGAGTTCATCAGCTGTCTCCCTGCCAGAGAGGGCGCATCGAATCCTGGCAAGGCTCTGCTCTTGTCCGCTCCTTTGCCAGATGCCTGAAGCTTGGGCACAAGATGAAGAGAGAAAGAATCAGATGAAATCCAGTCTGGGTTCACCCCTTGGCTTAGAAGAGAAGCAGGGCCTGGGGATATAGCTCAGCGGCACAGCGCCTGCCTGGCAAGCTCAGGTTCCTGAATTCGTTTCCCGGTACCAAAAAAAAAAAAAAAAAAAGCAGGCATAGAGAGGTGCTGCTAGTGCTCCTTGCTTGCACCTTTTCCCTCTTGCCAGTTGTCCTCCTGGCTCCTTCCCAAAACCTGAAGAGGAGGAGCAAAGGGCGGGGCGCCTTTCAATCCTCAGCCTGCCAGGACTCAGAGGTTTCCTGCTGGCTGAGAAGTCAACCCTGTCCCATTTTCAGAGTCCTTCCCGCGTGGCCCTAGGGTGCTCTCTGGCTGGGTTTTGTCCTGCAGAATGGAGGCCAAGCTCTTTCCTCCCTGAGCTGTTGGCTCCCACCTTGGGCTTCTTGGTCCTTTGGACAGGAAAGGGTGCTCCTTCCTTTTTGCAGCAAGTATCCTGTTGGGGATACTGCGTAACTTACTGTCCTGTCCGGGAGCCTGCGTACCTTCTAGAACTCGGGCAGAGGGTTAAATGTCTTTTTCCAGGCACTCTCCGGACAGTTGGCTGAGTGCAAGGTAAAGAAAGTTGCTCCTTAAGGAGCGTTTTGTCATGGGGGAGCCCACCGCTTCCTACCAGCTTTCCGGGAAGCACGCGGTCCCTGGGCTGCCTCACCTGGGCATGGTGAGAGCTGGGTCTGCAGTGGGATTTGTGGAACTTTCCTACCCCTCTGAATCAACAACTTAATGAAACGGGGGCACACGGGATCTCCTGGAACAAAGGGCACCATTCAGTAGCACCAGCAGGTCATACATCATCAGCCCAGAAGCCTGCCACGTGACAAGTGTCTGCTGCTGCCGTGCCCTGCCGGGAAGGGGAAAAGAGCCGGTTACCATTCAGCTGCACGGCCATGGGCAGGCGGTCTCCAGGGCTCTGCTCCCAGCCCAGGGACAGGCCTCTCTGGGCGGCCCGGCCACTCAGCCCAACTGCCCTCGGCCGCAGAAGAGCCCAAAATAACAAGAGAGGGAAGGAAAAGCGAAGCTGGGTCAGACTGACAAATTGTTAAAAAACCAAACCAACTTCCAGGCTCAGCTGGGCCTCAGAGGGTCAAGAGGCCTCGGCGCGCCCCGCTAATGGAGCCTGCTGGAGGCGCAGCAGCCCAGCCTTGCAGTGTCTTATCTTACAACATAAAATTAAAACCCACTTAAAAGGCCGGAGGGCATGTTAACATTCCCCCTGCTGTCTAATTGAAGTAGTTCCCAGTGCAAAGGATTTCACTTGAAAGATGTCTCCCTCCAAGCCTGGTTCTCCTGCTCCTGGGACCTGGGAAGGGCGCGAGGGAGGGAGAGGTTGTCATTTCAAAGACATGCACAAACGCAGGCCCGAAAAAGTGCAGATTCTGTTCACTGCCCCCACCCCGGCGGCAGGTGGCGACAGCAAAGGTTAGAGCAGCTTGGCTTGTTTTGTATTTTTAAACAAATTTACAAATTCATTAGCAACCATGTCAGCAGAGGCCAGACTTCTGACAAGAAGTCCTGGTAATGATTCAAACATGGCGGGCCCTGCGGGAAAACCTGGCAGGTCCTCCAGTCATGAGATTTCTGTTGCATTCCCCCGGCTGCCCCTATGCAAATGTACTGCGGGTCTCCAAGGCATACGGAATCAATCAGGGACATCCTGTAAAGGTGATGAACTTGCACTGGCCATCCCGAGTAATGGGAACCAGTCACCCCAAAGCCAGCCGGGACTGAAAGCCAAGGTGACAGCTATTAAGCAATTGTGCACAGAACAAAATGGCAGAGGGGCTGGGTAATCAATTCAATTCGGATGGGCAGCCCAAGCAACTGCAGCGTCTGTCTCAGCTGATTAGAGGGGACCGGGTTGGAGCTTTCAGTGCAAGCCCATCACAGATCAGAAACAGGCCTAGGATGAAAAGGGAAAGAACCGTCTCCTGAGAAGCAGGCGATGAAGGACTCTGTTTTATGTGACTGTGTTCTTCCTTCTCTCCTTGAAGAAAGAATAGCGGGGGGAAAAGCCAGCAGTTTGGAGATTAGATAGTTTTCTTTTCAGCCATTCATCATTATGAAGGAAAGTAGACAGGGCAGGGGCTGAAAAATCTCCAGTGGGATTTCTGTGAAATCTCACTAAGGAGGACCAGGTTTGCAGTGTGCAGCTCACACAGCCCCTGCCTATTACCACAGCCTGACAGGGCCTGCGGAGCATCCAGCGTCCCTCTTCTCCAACAAGGGCAAACAGGCCCCTGGGCTCGGAGGATCACAGAAATTCTGTGATCTGCAGAAACCCCAAACCACCAAATTGTATCATTTGTGAAAATTAAAGCCTGAGTTAGAATAATGGGGAGAGGAGGAAAAACGGGGAAGGAAAAGACGAGAGGGTTGTGCGGGCTCAGCAGGTTAGGTCCCCTCAGCGGCCGCCCACTTTTCACTCAGCTCCGCTCAGGGCGACAAGGGCCCCTTCTGTCAGTACTGCTCATGGACAAGTGACAGGCTCTGGCAGCCTGCTGGAAAATTCTAGGTTCCTACTTGGTTGTTCTGCCCTCTGGTGTGGGGGCTTCTGGGAGGCAGAGCAAGGGATACCCATGGGAACATAAGCCATGAGCGAGTAGCCGGGGACAGTGGAGGGGAAGGGAGAGGCTTGTGAGCAAAGGCGGGGGCTGCAGTCAGAAGGGAGGGGGCCAGGTAGGAGACAAGGGTGAAGAATACACACCCAGGACAGGTGGGCTCCAGGATAGGCTGGCTGGAGGTGAGTGAGGCCTGACAGAGGACTGAGCCTGGGAGACCTGGAGCAGGGGCTGGGGGCTAGGGGCATGGAGGTGGCAACGCAACCAGACAGTTCTTAAAAGAGGGATTAGGAATGGATGATCAACCAGAAAAAAAAAGCAAAAACAAACAAACAAAAAAACAACTAAATTAAACTCACTAATAATCTCAAATGCAAACTGAAGTGAGAACATACAACTTTTGTCTAACAGATTAGTGAACAATGAAGAAAAGATGTGGGAGCCTCAATCATTGCTGGTGGGAGCGGCAGCTTTTCTGGAAAAAGCAATTTGGTAGCATAGACAAAGGCTTTAAAAGTGTTCATATCCCAAAGAAAATAACCAGACATATGGACATGGCTTAATGCTCTGTATGAGTCAGATTTTCTATTGTTGGGACACAATGCCCAATTCCCATAAATTAAAGGAAAAAAGGGTCTAATTTAGCTCACACTTCAGGAGATTCAGTTCCTGGTTGTTAGGCTCCAGCGTAGGAAGGTTATGGTGGGAGAGTGGAGCAAAGCTGTTCAGTTTATGACAACTGGGAAAGAGAGTAGGAAAAGAGTGCCAGAGACGAATGGGTGAGGGGCCATATATAGTTCCCCAAGCCACACCTCCATGAGCCACCCGACATACCCAGGAGTGTGCTCTACTAATTTGCTAGTTTCTTCTTAATCCTACATTCATGGTTAATGGTCACAATCTACCCCTTGACCATTTCATATCCCAAAACAGCTTCTTAAACCATAATTATCTCCAAATAGAGATAATAGCCAAGTTCATAATTCTGCCTAACATAATATAACTATCCCACATACAACTGGGATATAATTCCTTCCCCAAAGTCTCAACAGTTTCTGCATTTTTCAAAAGTCTCTTGGATTCTGGATGCCAGTAAAACCAGCATCATGTGAACCATGTCAGGGTTTACTGTCAGTGGAAGCAGTAGCCAGGCCCCCTTGAACTATGACTGCAGTGGCCTCTGAGTCCTGGATGGCTGAGCATGGTGAAATGAATCCTGGGGAACCAATTCCCTAGGACTCCCCTTTCAAGCAGGGGTCCCATCACGTCTCAAATAAAAGATTTACACTTTTCCACCTTTTAGTCTGCTATGTGTGTGGCCTTGCTGATTCCTGAGAAGTCCTCAAGTCATTCTTTTTATCCCTACTAAGAAACACTTGTTTTCTTTTAAATGGTATTAATCTTTTTAGCAGCCATATCTCCTTTGGCTTCAACTTTACATATATTTTCTTTTTTTTATTTTAAAAATAAAAGGAGGAAAACATTAACAGACAGACAACCTTTTACAAAA